AAGAAAATCTTTAAAAAAGAGTCATCATTTTTATTTGTGGTAGTTTTTTGTTGTTTATTTTTTATTTGCATCAAATAAAATCCTGCAATCTTACCTGGCCCTTAGCAGGATGTAATAAATGTTTGTTGAATTAACATTGAATACAGGAGAGACTAATTGAAGGACGTTATCAGTGAGTAATAACATGTAAAATGTGACTTGAGCTCCTAAACCCATATCTCTAGTCTAGGTCTTTCTCCCAAGCCTCAGACCTGTATTTGCTTCCTTGAATTTCCCACAGGCAACTCAGACTCAATATTAACTCTTTTCTCCTGTAAATCTTCTTGTTCTCAGCTCAGTGAACGGCACTCAGAGGCCCAAGTCTGGGACCTTGGCTCCTCCTCTCTCTTGCTCCATCTCTAATTGGTCAAAAAACTTATGTGTCCTGTAGATTTTTGCTTCCCAAATGCCTCTTAATCCCATCTATTTCTTTTCATCTCCACACCATCCTTATTGCTACTCTTGTAGTCCAAGGTAACATCATCTGTTGTCTTGACAATAGCAACAGTCTCCCTATCTCCCCACTGTCTCTGCCCACTTTTCTTTCCTTTTTCTGGATGTCTTACTTTATGAACTTTATACATAGTGTTCTCTTTCTGGAATACTATTTTCTTCTCTATCTCTTTCTCTCTTGCTAGCTCCTATTCTTCCATCACAGTTCCTGTCTATAGGCCACCACCTTCAGGTACACTTTACCTCCCTGCCCCTCATCCTCCCCTGCACCCCAGTTTGGTTAGGTGTTCATGCCATGTATAACAAGCTCCTCTACTTATCTTATCAACTTCGGTGTAGTTGCCTGTTGCTATCTCTCTTGCTAAACAGAGCTTATACAGACTATAAGCTCTGTAAAGATAAGGACTGTGTGTAATTCATCTTGGTATCCCTGAACAGAGCTTAGCATGTAGTATAGGTGCGCAGTCATTTTATATATATTTACATTGTAGAAAGAATGAATGTATCTATTTTGCTTTTCAGAAAATTATATGTTCCTTCTAATTTGTGTATGTATACCTTTTGGATCTCTTAAAACATTTGCAAAGAATTCATTAAGAAACCCATAATTGCTCCTAAGTTACCTTTAGAAATATGTTTTTTTTTTTTTGTAGAGGTTTTTGCTGTAGGGTGCATGCGCTCGCCAGACCGACAGAGACAGAGAGACAGAGAGATAGAAAGCAAGAAATCACCCTTCGGGGGGATGGCCATGCCGCAATCCCTTCTCCTCCATTCTCTTCTCAGGATCTTGGGCACACTTGTACGCAGGTCCGGTGTGAGTTTTAAGCCACCAGGTCCAGGACATGAACCACGGTAGACTACATGGGAGTCCAGCGACATAGCCATTACGCTAACTGCTGGTCCCATTAGAAATATGTTTTGACCTCTGTATTTTAGTTTTCTTTAGAGGGGGGCATATCAGTATTTATTGAGAAATTGATTTTATATGGTAATTGCCAATAAGTCTAATTTAATATACAGGAGAATCATGGTGTATGGAAAACATGCCAGGCATGTGTGCATCTATGCTCAAAATTCTGATGGAGGATGGAGAAACAGCGTGACTATGCTCCATAGAGGGATGTTTTCTCCCTCTCTGTCTCTCCCTGATGAGTACAAATGCTCTGACAAATTTTTATTTTTAAAAAATCATTTCCTTTTATCATTATCGTTGTTTTTAAATTGACCATAGTAAGACACAGAGAGAGGGTGAGAAAAAGAGAGAGAGGGCAAGAGAGAGAGAAAACGAGAAAGTAAGCCACCAGGTCTAGGACTTGAACCGTGGTCAGCCACATGGGAGTTCAGTGCCTTTAATCATCAAGCCACCTGCTGGCCCCTGCCCTGACAAATATTTTTAACAAGTAAGTATTCCTTATGGAGATATCTATATCTATATCTATCTATCTATCTATCTATATATAAATATATATACACACACACACACACACACACACACACACACACATATGTATACATATGTATGTATTTATACACACACATAAATTTTATATATATAAAATATAAAAAACCTTTTAAATAAATGAAAGTGAAGTATAGAGTCCAGAAAACAGGACAGCCTGGCCTTTCCATCAGTGTGCCTGGCACGGGTACTTGCTAAGGAAGAAAGGATAATAGCAAATGTTCCTTCCATGGAAAGAGGAAATGCATGTATGTCGGGTGGGTGACAGCTTTTGCAGCTGCCCAAGAATAAGGAACTTATCCAAGCTAGCCTTTGGCTGGGCCATATCATACCCTTGGTTTTGTAGTAACATCTAGACTCCTTGATTGATAATACTGGGCTCGGGAACCAGCCGTTAGCGTAATGGCTATGTCGCTGGACTCCCACGTAGTCGACCACGGTTTGCGTCCTGGACCCGGTGGCTTAAAACTCACGCCGGGCGCGTGTGCATGCGTGCCCAAGATCCCGAGAGGAGAATGGAGGGGAAGGGATTGCGGCGTGACCATACCCCCTGGGGGGTGATTTCTCGCTTTCTGTCTCTATGTCTCTCTCTGTCTGGCGAGCACACGTGCCCTATAGTGAAAACCTCTCCAAAAAAAGAAAAAGAAAAAAAAATAATACCAGGCTCTTGACCAGCAGACAGTGTAATGGTTATGTCACTGGACTCCCACATAGTCGACCACGGTTTGCGTCCTGGACCCGGTGGCTTAAAACTCACGCCGGGCGCGTGTGCATGCGTGCCCAAGATCCCGAGAGGAGAATGGAGGAGAAAGGATTGCAAAGTGACCATCCCCCTTGGGGGGTGGTTTCTCACTTTCTGTCTCCCTGTCTCTCTCTCTCTGGTGTGCACACGCGCCCTAGAGCAAAACTCTCTCTTAAAAAATAATAATACAGGGTTCACCCTTTGTAATCTGAATATTTTTTAATTGCCAGAGGGCACATATACTCACCAGAGGGAGACAGAGAGAGAGGGAGAGGGAGAAAGCACCCTCAATGGGACATAGTCATGCTATTATCCATTCTCCTTCATTTGTCCATCCTGTTTGGATTTGGGGTATATACACAGATGCACCTAGTGTGTTTTCCAAGCTCCTGAGGCTGGGAATTGAACTCCCTTAACTACTAGGTTATGAGGCTGGCTCATAAACTGATCAATTTTACAAATAAGGATTGAAGCTTTGAATTTTGATACAGTCTTTTAAAGGCATTTGAACTTGCTGTGGAAATGTTTTATATAAAACATTTATTGGAAGCATGTATTCTGACAACAGACTGTATAGATTTGCTTCCTGTACGTCTGCTTCCTGGACAAGATACCTTAGTTCCTTAGTTTTCATTATCTAGAAAATGGAGGTAGAGTGGTTGCCTATCTCTTAGGGCAATTTTGAGGATTAGAAAAGAAAACGCATGTGTAAGGGATGAAACAGCACCTGGTATGTAGTTAAGTGCCAAATAACTGTTAGAAGGTCTTGTTACTAAGTTAAATTTAGATTAAAAAAAAAACTCTTTCTGGTCCGGTTAAACAATGAACTAGTCAAATTAAATGTGTATGTGTCACGATAAACACTAAATCTGCAAAAAGTGATGAGCACTCGTACCTAGCTCTGTGCTTGGCAATTAAGTGAATGTTTGGTGAGTGAGAGAATGAATGAATCATAGTAAAACCATGCTCAATAAAAAGCTGCATTTATATGGATATGTCTAAGCAATCACTGTCTTCTGTAGTGTGATTTAATAATACTAATGTAAAAATGTTAATAATACTAATGTAAAAATGTTGCAGTATTAACAATCTATTTAATAAATATGCATGTGTGGAAGAGAGTGGGTGAAGGAGGAGAGTCTGAGGAAGGGCATTAAGGAAAAAAACAGAGAGGCAAGGCATTTATGGGACAAAGAAATGGGTTATTATCTGTTGAAGATAATGTGTATACTATTCTCAACTGGACTGGTGTTAGAATATTCACTTTGCAAGCTAAGTGACAGATGTGATAGAATGTGTAAAAGAAATTGAAATTTTAAAAAAGTGCTGACTTTAATACTTATTTGAAAATTTTCTTTCACATTTTTCTAACAGGGAAGAAGACTTGGAGACAAAATTAGAGAAATTGGTTTGTTTGTTTGTTTTGATTTTTGTTTTTTTTGTTTTCCAGAATTGGGATGAGAATTGGAAACCATATTTTTTTATTCCCTAGACCAATAAGGTGCATTTGAAAACTTATTTTAATGTAAAGGAAAGAAATTGCTGTTGTTTGTGTTTAATTGCTGGCATGTCCTTGGATTTATGAACAGTTTCTCAAGTTCTGGCTTAAGTTCAGAATCATTTCTGTAGCATATTTTATATAAATTCTTTCTTTTTTAAAATTTATTTTTAAAAACATTTAAAAATATTTGCTAGAGGCACATGTGTTTGCCGGGGAGAGAGAGAGAATCCCCTTATGGGAGATGGTCAAGCTGCAGTCCCTTCTTCTCCATTTCTCCCTATTTTCAGGATTTTGGGCATGCACATGCGTGGACCTGGAGTGTTTCTCAAGCTGCAGAGTCCAAGACTCAAACCTCATAGTTGGTCAGGCAGGATCCAGACTCCTTACCTGCCATGCCTCTGGCTGACCCAGAATATAAATTCTCTTTGCCGTCGCCTGTCCTCATCTCAATAAACCTAAATAATTGTTTCAACTTTCTATAGAATAAAAGCAGCTTTATTTCTTGAGCAATCCCAGTCTAGCAAGTATGAAGAGAGGACAGGTTCTAATGGGGCATACAGAGGCTAACTCTGGGCTCAAAAAAGGCATGCATGGGAACCAGCAGTTAGCGTAATGGCTATGTCGCTGGACTCCCACGTAGTCGACCGCAGTTCACATCCCAGACCCGGTGGCTTAGAACTCACGCCGGGCGCGTGTGCGTGCGTGCCCAAGATCTCGAGAGGAGAATGGAGGAGAAGGGATTGCTGTGTGGCCATCCCCCCTGGGGGGTGATTTCTCACTTTCTGTCTCTATGTCTCTCTCTGTCTGTCTGGCGAGCGCACACACCCTATAGCGAAAACCTCTCTCTCAAAAAAAAAAAAAAAGGCATGCATTTGGTTATTGATAGATACCAGGTTCCTTCCTTTCAGTTATCCTTGGTAGTCTGGTATCTGCAGAGTCGCTTCATCATAGCTGCAAGTCCTCACGTTTTCTTTGCCTGTTCTTTATGGTAAACAAAGAGAAAAAAACCTGTTTCCAAGAGGCAGTGTAGCATAAGTCGTACAAATTGTAGAACTAGATTATCTGGATTTTAATCTTAATTCCATTTCTTACTGCCTGCATAACGTTAGATACATTCCCTGAAGCTCAGTTTCTCTATCTATAAAATAATAGAGGCTGGCAGGTGGTTTGGTGGTTGGGGGGCTAGACATCCATGTGGGTGACTGCAGTTCGAGTCCTAGACCTGGTGGCTTGCTTTCTCACTTTCCCTCTCTCTCCTTGGTCAAATAAAAAAATAATAATGCTGAATAAAAGTAAATAAAACAGTTCTTTAAAACGGGGATAATAATATCACATCTTCATCATGGAGATAGGGTAAAGATAAAATAATCTAATGTTTGCAAAGCACTTGGAGCAGTGTGTGGTAAATGCTAGCATTCTAAGTAATTTATCTATTGATAATTATTATTCTTTTTAAAGAGATTTTTGCTATAGGGAATGTGTGCTTGCTGGAGAGACAGAGACAGACAGACAGAAAGCGAGAAATCACCTGCTGGGGAATGGCCACACCACAATCCCTTCTCCTCTATATTCCTAGTGAATGGCCCTTGCTGATATACCAGGCCTGGTTAGCATGTCATACAGTCATAACTTCTGGTTTTAAGAACGAAGCTTGGAGAATGCCCAATACCAATGTCTTATAGTCATTCAATTTTGGTTTCAACTCATGATGCCTTAATATTTCTCTATATGGATCTATTCAGTTCCATAGTCTCAGGGGAAAAATATGAAGGTGTGACCATACATTTTCTTGGTGGGGTTATAGCTGTTAAACACAGTTCCAACTGCATTCTTCTGATTTGAATCAGTTTGTATAATCCTTAGGAATTTAAAAGTATAAATTGATGTTTCAAATCTTTCTTCACCTGTATTTCCAAAACCTGTTAGGAGTAAATGGAGTATGCAGTATTTTGTCTTAATTATGCTATTAGAATAATGATAACAAGATAACATGTGCCAGATGACAAACCCAAGTACATCCTGGAAGTGGGATCATGATAAAGGTGGCACATAGACTTGACTTTGTTTCATTGTTCATTAAGTATGTGGCCTTAGCCACATTACTAAACCTCTCCAAGCCCCTATCTTCCCACCTTTAGAATGGGGATAAGAGGACCAGCAGTTAGTATAATGGTTATGTCAATGGACTCCCATGTAGTCGACTGTGGTTCGAGTCCTGAACCCAGTGACTTAAACTCATGCCAGGCACGTGTGCATGCGTGCCCAAGATCCCGAGAGGAGAATGGAGGAGAAGGGATTGTGGTGTGGACATCCTCCCTGGGGGGTGATTTCTTGCTTCCTGTCTCTCTGTCTCTCTCTGTCTATCTGGTGAGCGCACGCACCCTAGAGCAAAAACCTCTCCAAAAAAAAAAAAAATGGGGATAAGAATGCCACAACTTGCTCAATTGCCTTGAGGATTAGATATAATGAGGCATGTTATGCAATTAAGATGATGCTTACCCAATATATAGAAAGTTATCAATAGGGCCAGCCAGTGGTGTGGTGGTTAAGGCACCTGGATCCCACATGGTAGACTTCACAGTTCAAGTTCCAGACCTGGAAGCTTGAAAAACATGCCAGGCACATTGTGTGCATTCCCAAAGTCCTGAGAGGAGAGTGGAGGACAGGGGATGGCAGCGTGGCTATCCCTCTGGGATGCTTTCTTACTTTCCCTCTCTATCTCTCTCTTTGGTTAGTGCAGATAAGCTATAGCAAAGCTATAAAAAAAAGAGAAAGTTGTCAATAAATGTTTCTTTTCACTTATTTGTAATAAATAGGTCAAAATTTGCAGACATGTTATTTAGCTGATAGGTCCTACACTTTGTTTTGGGTTATAATTGTTATAGAGCAATGCTACACTTACTTAAAAGTCAGGCTTTTGGCAAGCTCAGCTGTCCAGGACAGGGACCTCAGGAATATACATGAAATTTTTCAAAAGGTCAGATAACAATCACAGATTTCATGCAATTGACTCTGTAGGCCAATCCAAGTCTTTTAAAGTCTGCAAAATAAGGCAGAATTTTAGGAGCAAGGAGGCCACTGACAGCATCAACTGACATGGCAGGGAGTAGAGACAGAGGTGTATAAGTTACAGCCATTCCAAGTAAGAAGAGTTCTGCAGGTTAGTAGCCCTGGAGCATTATTAGAGTTTATCACATTCGAGCTTATAATGCCACTGAGCCATTAGGAAAAGAATCAATTACGTAGTGTGTAAAAAATTCAAGGATGCAGGTAGTATTTTCTAGAAAGGTATTCTTCAAAAATCATCATGCTTAAAAAGCTATTTTAGTTCTACAATGAATAAACTTTACTTATCTCTAAAACCGCCAAAATTACCAAAGTGCCAAATAAACAGAAATTAATGTGTAAGAGACATTTTAATTAATGCCTTAAATCTGCCCTCTTTCTCAAATCAAATGATTTCTTACTAGCCCGTATCAAAGTTATTTTTGAAAAAAATATAGTGTTATTTTTCAGTTTAACTACACAGTTAGGATCTCGAGTATGCTTAATTTAATTTGGGCATCCTTGAAGAACTCTACCTACATAGATGCTATTTTAACTTTTATTTTCATTGTTTCAGATTGAAGTGGTGCATGATTGTCTGGAGAAGAGAAATCCTACCCAGCCTTCCAGTTTGAACAATAACAACAGCGTGGATATTTTGAAGAAGTATCCTTTATTTATTAAAATAAATTGTCATACACATCTATCTTTGGGTGTCTCTGGTTCAGTGTTCAAGGGCTGTGCCAAGTTAAATCCAATGGGAGACTTATTGAGAAGAAGAAAAATGAATATGAAATACGTTGATTAGAAATCACATTGAAAGGAAAATATATTTTATTTGAGAGACAGGAAACAAAATTATTACAGAAACTTAAGTATGAACTATTCTTTACAAGACCAGTAAAATAAATCTAGTGAATCTTTTAGAAAATTTTAGAACATTATCGAGAGAAGGAAAAATGGGGCCTAAAATACTAATATCATTTCCTTTTTGTGAGCAAGCATACTAAAGCTCAAAAACCATGCTGTCCAGGGACCAGCAGTTGGTGTAATGGCTATGTTGTTGGACTCCCATGTAGTCAACCGCTGTTTGACTCCCGGACTTGGTGGCTTAAACTCACGCTGGGTGTGTGTGTGTGCGTGCGTGCCCAAGTTCCAGAGAGGAGAATGGAGGAGAAGGGATTGTGATGTGAACACTCCCCATGGAGGGTACATTCTCACTTTCCTTTTTTTTTTCTCTCTCTCTCTTTGACAAGGATATATGCTCTCTGGCATATTAAAGATTAAAAGTATTAGGAACCAGAAAAAAACCCTACAACAACAACAAAACAAAACAAAACTATGCTGTTCAAAACACATGAAAACCTCATTGTAGGAATAGATTTTGTGAGCTTTTATACATTCATTCGTATTCTTAGTGAGTTAGAAATAAAGTTTTGTTTCTACTAACCAACATCTCCTTCCTCTCCTCCTCCCAGTGGTTATATGTCAATAAAAAGAGAAAAGAATAAGGGAAACTAAAGAAGCAAAAATAAAAAAGCTTTTTCAAGTTGGTAATATCCAACTTTGAATATCCCCCTTTCTTTCAAATATGTATGTAAATAAAAATTTATTGATTGATTGATTGATTGATTGTGATTTTCAAGCCACTGGGTCTGGGACCTGAACTGCAGTTGGCCGTGTGGGAACCCAACACCTTAACTGCTGCTATACCACCTGCTAGCCCTCTTTCAAATGTATTTTAGAGTCTTGTGGGTGGTATTCATTATAGAATCCATAAAATTAATTTCATGTTCCCATGATAAAAGCGAAACCCTTAGTAGTTCCTATTCATTAACTGTTTTTACATTCTGCAGTTTATAATGATAATAATTGAAGCATTGCAATACAATTCCAAAGTAAAAAAATAACTAATAAATGTGGTCATTTCATTCTAGCCATGTCCTACACGAGCTGATACAGACTGAGAGAGTGTATGTTCGGGAGTTGTTTACAGTTTTGTTGGTAAGTGACACAAATTATATCTTCCCCAGTGTTCTCTTGCTAATTCATTAGAAAATGTGTTGGACAGTCTTCTATTTCTGTCTCTTTTTTTTGATCGCCACATGGCAGCCATTTTATTTCTTCTATTGATTGAGGCTAACTGTGGGTTACATGTGCATGTTCAGGTTATCCCTCAGTAGTGGGAATGATTAATTCAGAATTTATTACAGAAGAGAGAAGCTGTTCTCTCAAAGATACAGAAGATTGTTACCATTATTCCCAGGGTTCTATTTAGAGATTGTGATGTAAAGGATGGAATAAAAATATCTGTTTGACACAAATGTCATGATTTAAATTTGGTCTGGAAAAAACTGAACACTTATTGTCAGCTGAGGGAGAACTTGACAACCTGTAATATAATTGTTCATGCTTGGTTTCTAATGTGTTACTTATACTATAAGTTGCCTTGAAGGCCAACCCTTGACCTCTCTGTCCTGACTTCTAAAAAAGAGTCATGGATAACTTTGGGAGCTAGGAGACTTGAATGTTAAAAGTCTGATAGCTTGACCTACAGATCCTCTCTATATTTGCCTTATCTACACTTCTGATGCCCAATCAAATGTTAATGTTAATATTTTTAGATTCATACATGTATTTATTTTGGGTAGGGATATAGAGCAGAAATGGATAACCCAGACATGTTTGATCTTATGCCACCTCTACTAAGAAATAAAAAGGACGTTCTCTTTGGGAATATGGCAGAAATATATGAATTCCATAACAAGTATGTATTTGCTAAATTGAATATTTCTTTTTCATGATATTATTTAAAGAGATAAGGACTGATTTATTACATTTCACATAAAATCATGTTAATTTTTTTCTCTGAAATTTTCACAGCATTTTCATGGGTAGTCTGGAAAATTGTGCTGATGCTCCAGAAAGAGTGGGACCTTGTTTCCTGGAAAGGGTTAGTTAAATTATTTTCTATGAATATAAAAATATGAGCCATTAAAATGGCAGTTGATGTATAAGAACAGATTTGGAGACAAGTTAGGTATAGCTTTGTAATGTCTTTTTGTTTATGGAGAAGACCTATAATTCCAGCAAGTATTATTTCTAGGTTTTATTATTTTTCATGAAAGAGAAAGACAAAGGCCCACTCCTAGCCTCAGCCAGACAGGATCACGGACACCCATGCACATTCAGCATTCACAGGGAGGCGTTGGGTCATGAACTCTGAACATTCCCATGTGATCTCAGGATTGCAGAGCATTGCATGCCACTGCGCCTCCATTGCTGGCCCTTTCAGAATATTTTTTACTTAACCCTTCTATGCTTGTTTAGTTCTTCTTCCTGAAAGATCAGTTCCATCTTGATTTGGGAATCAGTTCAATAGAGGGGATCGTTAAAAACTTCAAAATAAGTATCTTATCCCAGAAACTGTTTACGAAATTAAGAGAATGAGGCTAAGAAAGAACCGTGTGTCATTATCTTCCTCAACAAGTTCTGCCTGAAGACACATTTATTCTTTGGCCTAATTGTCCCCGAACTTCCTCAAGCAACAGCAGTCTAGCTTCCTTTTGGATTGTTTTTATATAACATCTATACTACTCACTGGAGATTTTCTTCTTATTGTGCATCTTTAAGCATGTACATTCATTTTTTCCTCAACTTGATCGAAGCAGATCCCCTTTGAGATAGGGTATAAGTATTCTACCTTTGTATTTCCCATAAGGTTAGAAGAATTCTTGGCAACCAGTAATGGTTTAATACATACTTAATGATAAAATGTTCATTCATTTAACAGTCATCTACTGAACACCTACTATGCACCAGGTACTGTACTAAGCAATGTGCATACCAAAGCCAACACCATTTAGGTTTCTGAACTAGGAAACCATTAATTGTGTACAGGATCAGTTGCAATACATTAGAGATATATAAATGATCCCATGGGATCCCAGAAGAGGAGCATCTTACATAGAGTGTGTTATAAACTATAGCTTTATGAGATGAATGTTAAAGAATGAACTAGGAGGTAGCACATTAGATAAGGGTCAGAGAAAGATTATCACAGTCAGATGCCTAGGTAGTTATTATATAATGATGTCCCAGTGATGAACCAAGGCCTGTATGATCTAACTTGGAAATTAGCTGTGAATTTGTTCATTAGGGACCTGAGACACTAATAGCATATAAAGAGCCTATTATTGGTACCCTATTAGTGCATAGCTATAAAGTAACAGTCTGCGTTTATAGTTCATATACAGAAGACTTTTCTCCTTCTTATTCTTGAACTTAGTCATTGGAAGTTAAGAAAATATTTGGATATTTATGTATCACTCTACCAGGTCCAACAGGCATGTTGTTCATGGATTACAAAGAGATTTCTTGACTAGCTGTCCATACAACAGACCCTTTATGCCATGTTCCCTACGAAGCTTGGTCACACTCACTCTTGCTGACTCTTTTTGATAATAAAATTACATTTACAAGTTGGTAACACATTTGAATTTTCTTTTTATTACAGAAGGATGATTTTAATATGTATGCTAAATATTGTCTGAATAAGCCCAGATCAGAGACAATTTGGAGGAAATATTCAGAATGTGCCTTTTTCCAGGTATAGTATATACTTAAGTATTGGATATACTCCTTCTGGAAGATATTGGGATAGTTCTTATTTATAAATTCATTTTCTACTTTAAGTTATATACACATATAGGTTACAGAGCAAGTCTATCCTTCCTAAAATGCATGCAAATGACAACTGCTTTAGTGCTTTTAGCTGCTTCCTTTTGCTATTTACCTCCAAATCACCAAAGGATGTGTATCTTGCCCCTTCCTACTGTAGAAGGTGAGGATTTAGCTCTCTTTCTCTGTCCTGCACTATACCACCATATACACACCAATACTTCTTTTCCTCAAAACTTCCAGTATAGTCTAATTTAAGTTAGATTGATACATAGTATTAAATGATTAAGAGTATGCTATTTTTCTGCCCAGATTAATCATATGGTATAATGTGGTTGCTTTTCCTTCCCCTTTGTTGTTCTTAAAATTGTTTTTTCAATCATATAATTTTCTAGGCACTTTTTATTCTACCCCAACCTCTCCTAGTAGTAGAAGTTATAAAAACATCTTTCCAGTCAATTTAAACACATTGGATTTTCTCTGAATTTCACCTTGGAACAAATCTGTCTGGGGTCATTTGAAATGTTTATCTAGCCTCTATAGGCCTACTGCACAGTTGTCATCCTGGGATCTTGGTGACTGTCATCTGGGGGATTCTCGTCACCTGTCTCTTACATAGACTCTGTTGCTTCCTAGATGTAATATCTTTATCTTTCTTGCTTTAGTCCCTGTTTTGGACACACATTCCATAATTTTACTGAGAGAGTATGCATGGCAAGTTATAATGTTTGAGAGCCACTTGGTAACTATAATCCCTGAATCTTTGGGAATGGGGAAATGTTTCAGGTTTATTATGTTGTAGCATGTATTAATTCTTCATTCTATTTTGAGATTAATGTTCTATTGTATGGATCAATTACTTCTTATTTATACATTTATCAGTTGATAAGAAATTTGAGTTGTTATCACCTTTTTGTTATTATTAATAATGCTACTGCAAAATTTTTTGTACAAGTTTTTGTGTAGGCATGTGTTTTCATTTCTCTTGGCTATATACCTGGGAGGAAAATTGCTGGGTCAGATGGTAACTCTATGTTGAACTTTTTGAAGGACTGCTAAGCTGTTTTCCAAAGTTACAACACCATTGTATATTCCCACCAGCAGTAAATGTGGGTACTTACTTCTCCACATATACTTGTCTTATAGATTATTATTTAATTACTTCTTAAGCAGACTTTCAAAAATCATTTTTGAGCCTCACCTTTGCTCCCATTTTTGGAGCCACTTGGTAACTATAATCCCTGAATCTTTGGGAATGGGGAAATGTTCCGTAACATGTTCCATAACATAAATTGATTAGTTCTTTGACTTTTCCCCCTATAAACTTGACATTTACTTTTCTCCATTGTGGTCAGTTGTTTACCACTTATCAGCTTGGTTTCTTTCTTTCTTTTTTTTTTTGGAGAAGTTTTTACTATATGGAGTGTGCACTCACCAGAAAGATAGAGACAGACAGAGAGATAGCGAGAAATCATCATCGATGGGGGATGGCCATGCCGCAATTCCTTCTCCTCCATTCTCCTCTTGGGATCTTAGGCATGCACACACATGCGCCTAGCATGAGTTTAAGCCTCCGGGCCCGGGACTCAAACTGCAGTCAACTATATGGGAGTTCAGTGACATAGCCATTATGCTAACTGCTGGTCCCTTGGTTTCTAATCTCCTAATTTTGCCAACGTTTTCTCCTTTCTCATATACATTGTAACTTTGGATTTTTGCTGTGTAAAGTATAACTTTTCCATCATAAATGCAATCTGAATGCATGTATCAGTCCATCACCTATAACCATATATTATTGATAATTCTTGTTTGAATCAGATAGAGTTCTTGTAGAATGAGGTATTTTTTGGATTTTGTCCATTTTCATAGGAGGGCCCAGATCTTATTTGGATATATCTTCTCCCAATCCCTTTGTGTTCTGCACTTCTTATATGAACATTTTATGCTAACCAGCCCCATCTTGCTCTAATTATGGACACTACAATATTCCCAGGACCCAGTGTCATGACCCTTATATTTATAGTGGCAGTGATTCAATCACTGGATGAAATATAGCACCACTTGATCAAGGCTGTATTTTTCTTGTGATATTAAAAAAAATGTTCTCATACTGAGTCTGATTTACGTTCAGCACAACCTATTTCTTTTCTTTGCCTGTGGAACTGAGTCTTTTGTTAATTTTTTTGTTCATATTAAAAAACTTTTAAATCATATTAATCTGTTGCTGTTCCTTGCTTTCTCACCTTTTAAGCAGTCCATATTGATGTGAATTTAAATGTGAAAACCTTTTCATCTTTGAGATGTTGGAACTTTCTACCTTCCAAATTCTCAAAATATTTTTACTATAGTTTTCTGGATATATTATGTCTTATAATTTCTAAATGGTATATAACAGTGGTTTTTTTTCCATATAAATATTGCTTGAGATGTGAGAAACATTCACACAGTAGGTCTAATCTATGAACACTTGGCATTTTCACAGGTATATGTCATAATTTAATTTGATGATAATTATCTTTTAATGACAGGAATGTCAAAGAAAATTAAAACACAGACTTGGTCTGGATTCATATTTACTCAAACCAGTGCAACGAATCACTAAATATCAGTTACTATTGAAGGAAATTACCTGGAGTACTTCTTTCTTTCTTTACTTTTTTGGATCAGATATGACAAAGCTATTGAAAAGTAAATAACTGACTAGAAAGCTCTAGAAATATATGGGGTCAATGACTGGGAAGACTGGATTTAGGAATAGAATTAGTGCAGTGTGCTCCTTCAGTTTACTGTGGTTGTGCAAATGCCACAGACGTAGATGTTAGGTTGAGAATATCTGGAGTCTTAGCATGTAATTCTCTATAGAAGTACATTGATTTATGTATAATGTTTCACTGAGTAACTTTTAATATCATTAAGAAGAACTAAACAAACCAATATTTCTTATAGTTTAAAAATTATTTATTTATTTATTTATTTATTTTTTTGAGAGCTTTTGCTACAGGGCACATGTGCTTGCCAGAAAGACACAGAGAGACAGAGAGAGAGAAAGCGAGAAATCACTCCCCCCCCAGGGTGGATGGTCACACCACAATCCCTTCTCCTCCATTCTCCTCTTGGTATCTTGGGCACTCATGCACATGTGCCTGGCATGAGTTTAAGCCACCGGGTTCAGGACATGGGCCATGGTCAACTATATGGGAGCCCAGAGACATAGCCATTATGCCAACTGTTGGTCCCTATTTATTTAATTTTATTTATTATTATTATTATTAAATTTGACCAGAGAGAGACAGAGAAAGAGAGGGAAACTGAGAAAGCAAGCCACTGGGTCCAGTATTTGAACTGCAGTTGGCCATGTGGGAGTCCAGTGCATTTTAAACCCCACGCCACCTGCTGGTTCCCTTCTTATAGTTTTTAAAGTTCATTTATTTCTTCCATGAGCAAAGAGAGAAACAGAGACAGCACATCCAACAGGGTCTTCATGCCATGACCCAATCCCGGACTCAGCCAGCCCTGGGCACGCATATGCCTGAAGTAGTCAGGGAGGTCTCTGGATGCAAACCTGGAACTTTTCCTAAACCCCACGCCACCTGCTGGTTCCCTTCTTATAGTTTTTAAAGTTCATTTATTTCTTCCATGAGCAAAGAGAGAAACAGAGACAGCACATCCAACAGGGTCTTCATGCCATGACCCAATCCCGGACTCAGCCAGCCCTGGGCACGCATATGCCTGAAGTAGTCAGGGAGGTCTCTGGATGCAAACCTGGAACTTTTCCATGTGGGCAAGCCTTGCAGACTGTCCATTTTATTTCTATGCCACCTTCCTGCTTCCCTATTTCTTATAGATTTGAGATTGTATTTCATATGAACCTTCTGGATGCAAACCTGGAACTTTCCCATGGGCAAACCTTGCAGACTGTCTCATTTTACTGCTATGCCACCTTCCTGCCCCCCTAACTATTATAGTTTTAAGATTGTATTTCATATGAGCCTTCTCAGTGAAAAGTGCAAATATCTCTCCCCTAGTGTAATGTGAAAGGTTTGGTAAAATCTGTGTTAGGTATAAAATATAATACGGCTTGTTTAAAAATGTATATTCACTATGTTCTATGTCATAACGTATTTTGGATACACAAATTATTGTATATAGAGGAAAGAAAAACCAAATATACTGTTTGAAAAACTAATCTGTGAGTGTGTGTGGGTATGTATGGTTGATTTTTGCCAGAGGAAGTGTGTGCTAACCAGAGAGAAGGGAGAGAGAGCAAGAGAGGGAAGGAGGAAAAGGAAGAAAGCACCCCTCAATAGGGTGTGGTCATGCTGAAATCTCTTCTCTTCCATTTACCTTTCTTGTTAAGATTTTAGTCATGCACACAGACATGCCTGGTATGTTTCTCAAGCCACTGGGATCAGGATTCTAGCCACATGCTCAGCCATGAGGGATCTAGCTCCCTTACCCACCAGACTGTGGGCACGGCCCTCTAGTGTGTTTTGGGCATTCAGTTTCAAAAGCACTGAATGTCCTTTGTATCATACTTTTTAGCACTATTCCATTTCTTTTCCAGTTTTGACATTATCATTAAATATAATATTAATGTGACAAAGCACATATAAAGAAAATTATTCTGCAAAATGACTTGTCTTTGGATTCCTGCTTGAAAGCATATTAGCTGTAAATTTGTTAACTTTCTCCAGTTATTAATAGCTGCCCTAGGGCCAGCAGTTGGCATGGTGGACTCCTGTATGATCGACTGTAGTTTGAGTCCTGAACCTGACAGCTTGAAACTCATGCCAGGCATGTGTGCATATGTGCCCAGAATCCTGAGAGGGGAATGGACAAAGGATTGCAGCATGGCCATCCCCCCTGGGGGGTGATTTCTTGCTTTCCTTCTCTCTCCACCTCTCTGGTGAGTATGCATGCCCTACTCTCTGGTGAATATGCATGCCCTACAGCAAAAGTGTCTCTTAAAAAAAACCTGCCTTATATTAAGTATAATTCCTAACTTCTAATTACAGGAACTCTTGAAATGTAGCAAAGACGGTGAAGGATCCAATCAATTAAAGGAGGCACTTGACACAATGCTGGATTTACTGAAGTCAGTTAATGACTCCATGCATCAGATTGCAATAAATGGCTATATCGTAATCAGATTGCAATAACTGTTGGAATTTTAGGAGGTAACCATATCAACATCCTCTCTTCTTTGAACCAATCAAGAAATAACATATAAGAGACAGAAAATAGTGGCCAAATATTAGCCAAGTATTATTATTAATTTCAATATTGTTAATATAAACTAATAGAAATAGAAATATTACAAATTTTAGGTTGTGGGAAAGTCATGATGTAGTTTCTGTTTTTCTATGCAAAACTGCATCATGACTTTCCCAACACACCAATGTTATTGAACATGCTAAGAGGAGAATTGGTTTCAGATCAGCTGCCAAGTGGATCTATTATGTTTCCCTTGTCACCAACATCATGCCCCAACTCCAGACCTAGGGAGAGTCTGCTTGAAAAAATGTTTGGAACAACTAAGGAGATACATATTGCTGCTTATCCTAGTCCAGGACAGATATGGAAGGAAAGGATCAAATCTTTAGAATCTGCAGCCTTTTAACAGATTAGCTCCTTGGACCGGTGTAGGTTATACACCATCAGCATTGAAAAAGAAATAGAGAGTGTTACCCTCACTGGAATGCTTCCAAATGAGACAATATGAAGCCAAGGGAAAAGGAAATGTATTTTAGCCCTCACCCCCACGATAATTTTGTACATCTGTAATATACAGCATGCATAAAGTAAAAAGTTGTAATCCATACATGTGTAGAAAAACATACAAGTTTTCCTTTAGAATTTTAGTACCTGACTCCCAACACTGCTTTGTTAATGTCAGAGATCTGACTGTAGTTCTACCTTGTACTAAATGGGTTTTGATTTTCTGTTCTAGGGGAACTTAAATGAGCTGGGCAAGATGATAATGCAAGGTGGATTCAGTGTCTGGATAGGACACAAGAAAGGTGCTACAAAAATGAAAGACTTTGCTAGATTCAAACCAATGCAACGACACATTTTCCTGTATGAAAAAGCCATTATTTTTTGTAAAAGACGTGTTGAAAGCGGAGAAGGCTCTGATAGATACCCATCATACAGTTTTAAGCACTGTTTGAAAGTAAGAATTTGAATTCTGTAATGTAATATTGTTTTGTGTGTGTGTGTGTGTGTGTGTATCCCAGTCTGTATACTTTTTTGTTGTTGTTGTTCAGATGAGTGGGTTCTATACTTTATTTACACATCTCTTTGGATATTTTTTCAGTATATATAATTTATAGAGCGTATGTGTGCTCACCAGAGAGAGACAGAGAGACAAAGAGAAAAGGAGAGGGAGAAAACACCCCCTCCATGGGGCATTACCATGTTGCAATCCCTTCTTCTCCATCTCTGCACCCAGTTGGGATTTGGGGTATGCACACACATGTACTCAGCCCACTAGGGCTGGGATTCAAACTGTGTGGTGATATGGGATTCTGCTCTCTTAACCACTAGGCCACAGATTGGCCATGCACATCTCTTTCTATAAAAGAAAATATGAAGTAGAATCCTTTTATAGGAGTCAGATAAAGCAGAACTTCTTTGCTTGAAATGAGTGAGGGAATGCAGTTTGAATCCTTCTTTTCCTCTTTCTGCCCCAAGGGGGCTCCCTAGCAGCCTGCAGAGGACTGGCTCCCAGGGGGCACTCTCTTACCAATGGTGCAAAGTAGAGTTCGTGGTCTTGTTAGCAAGGAGCCTGTATGCTACAGGAGAGATGTAGAGGAAAGAATGTCTTCCTTTTCCTCAATGCAGTTTAAAGACGAATCAATCACTTTTGTGTTTGGCCTATTCCCACCTTCCTTTCTGTATCCCTGCTCCATCCCTAGCACCACCCTTCTCGAGTATCCAAAGCCACCTACTTACATCTGAATCTTTTTTCATGTCTGTCCTGTGCTTTTCTTGGAAATTATTTTATTCTCTCCTATAATCAAATCTGACAGCCTGTCCTAATATTAGTTTTGTTTTAAAATGTGAGCAGTCACTGGTAACCCAGTGATACTTCCCACTGTTTTTGCCGTTAGACAAGAGGAACTTCAATTCACATAAGGCTGTAATTGGCGATTTTGATTTTTGTTTTTAGACCTAATGAATTTTATCTTTCAAATTTTAACTTCTAAAAGCAATAAAGCTTTTGTCATAGAACTGTTGGCAAATAGAGAAAAGAATTATTCTTAATTTCATAGCCACTACCATTCTTATCACTTTTCATGAGCATGTTCATTCACAGTGGTCATCACCAGTCTATTTGAGAATTGATGATCATTTCAGCAGTAGTTGTAAAGAGGAAAAGGCAGTATGACCTGGGATGGGCCTGAAATATTTGACTACCAGATAAGCAGGCTCTGCTTTGAATTCTCCCAGAGGGTCAACAACCCCTCCCTGTTCCTAGCAAGATTTCTGCCCAAGGTCTCATCTCCAAACTCTTTCTGCTACTTGGTGGGCTTAGGCTACTTGGGAGGCCTGGGTTGTATTCTGGGCCCAGTTTAAAAGCTGGGTATAGTGACATGTGCCTGTAATCACAGCTACTTGAGAGGCTGAGGCAGGTAGATCTCAATATAATGAGATCCTGCCTTCAAAAAAAAAAAGTGAGAATACTAACACAAGATAGTGAAGTCATAAGAATTTATACTACAGGGACCAGCAGTTAGCGTAATGGCTATGTCGCTGGACTCCCACGTAGTTGACCGCGGTTCGCGTCCCAGACCCGGTGGCTTAAAACTCACGCCGGGCGCGTGTGCGTGCGTGCCCAAGATCCCGAGAGGAGAATGGAGGAGAAGGGATTGCGGTGTGACCATCCCCGGGGTTGATTTCTCGCTTTCTGTCTCTCTGTCTCTCTGGCAAGTGCACGTGCCCTATAGCAAAAACCTCTCAAAAAAAAAAAAAAAATTGAAACTACAGTGGTTACCATGGAGAAAAAGAGGGTGAGATACATATGAGAAACCTTTCAATGGAAGGTAAATAGGCTTGATAACTCCCAAGATACAAGTAATAAATAATAACTAACATTAGAAGGGAGAAAATATGTCTGGTTCTTTTTGGCCCCCAAATAATGCCTAATATTCTTAATTAAAGAAAATTGTCTTTATGCTTGCAAAGTTTTAGGCCAGGATTCCTGGGAAAATGGTGATGCCACTGACATTTCTGAGGCCTTCTTGTACTTCTTCCTCTTGCTTACCTACCATGGGATTTCAGCATTAAGGAACTGCTAGCATTTCTATCAACATGCTATTATACTTAACAATTAGGGTTATTGGGACCAGCAGTTAGTGTAATGGCTATGTCACTGGACTCCCATGTAGTCGACTGTGGTTCGAGTCCCAGACCCAGCGGCTTGAACTCACGCCCGGTGCGTGTGCGCCCAAGATCCTGAGAAGAGAAAAGAGGAGAAGGGATTGCGGCATGGCCATTCCCCCTGGGGGATGATTTCTTGCTTTCTGTCTCTCTGTCTCTCTCTCTCTCTCTGCCTGGTGAGCACATGTGCCCTATAGCAAAAACCTCTCCAAAAAAAGAAAAGAAAAAAACAATTAGGGTTATTGGTTTCAAAGTCTTACCTTTGGTAGGGAGGATCAGTACAGATACTCTCTTGCTAGGCACCTTCTCTATCACTTTACATAGACTTGTCCTGAGGACATCACAGCAAGCTGGAATCTCATGGTCTAACCATGTTCTTTATTTTTTTTTAATTTCCTGAGGGCACATGCACTTGCCGGGGAGAGAAAGAAAGTGAGATAGTACCTCTCATGGGGCATAGTCATGCCACAATTCCTTCTCTTCCTTTTCTTCCTCCTTTTGGAATTTTAGACATGTATGTACACATTCCTGGCATGTTTTAAAGCCATCAGATTCAGGACTCAAGCTGCACAGTCAGCCATGTGGGATCTAGCTCCTTAAACACCAGGCCATGGGCTGGCCTTTGACCATGTTCTTTTTAATAAGTTTGTGTTTTTTCTTTTTTTCTTCCTTTTTTTTTTTAAAGTTTTTTTTGCCATAGGGTACATGCACTCACTGGAGAGAGAGAGTGAGAAGGAAAGTGAGAAATCACCCCCCTGGGGGAACAGCCACACTGCAATCCCTTCTTTTTTTTTTTTTTTTTTTTAAGAGAGGTTTTGCTATAGGGCGCGTGTGCTTGCCAGAAAGACAGAGAGACAGAAAGCGAGAAATCACCCCCCAGGGAAAAATGGCCATGCCGCAATCCCTTTTCCTCCATCCTCCTCTCGGGATTCTGGGCATGCACGCACACATGCCTGGCGTGAGTTTAAGCCACCGAGTCTGGGCAGGATCTTGGGCACACACGCACACATGCCAAGAACTGCGGTTGACTACATGGGACTCCAGCGACATAGCCATTATGCTAACTGCTGGCCCCAGAAATTCTGTCTCATTTAGAGTATGATGCAGTAGATTTTGTGTAATTTTGTATTAAAAATAAAATGCTCATGAAAATGTTGACTTACTTATTGCAGATGGATGAAGTTGGAATCACTGAATATGTAAAAGGTGATAACCGCAAGTTTGAAATCTGGTATGGTGAGAAGGAGGAAATTTATATCGTCCAGGTTGGTCATTTAAAAATTATTTTAAAAACTGTAACCTGTATTAAGTTACACAAGTCGTCATTTTTAAACAGAAATATTTTTTGTTATGTTTCAAATGTTTCCATTCCTTTCACAAAGGTAACTTAAAATATTATTTGAATATTCTTTGTGATAGTCTTACACATTTTTCCCAGTAACACATTTTCCTTAAATTGAGGTAGGTCTGTGGTGTTCTCTAGGGCTTTAAGTTTTCATGTCTACACAGACTTATCAACCAGAGATGATAGCTTGGCAGGTGCTTCTCTTCCTTATCATGTTTCCAGAGTTACAAAATTAGAACAGGTTTGAGTTTCACTTGTGCTCAGCATTCAAAGGATACCTGATTATAAGACATGAGGCTGTGACAGTTCAGATTTGCTCCCTGCTTCTAAAGAACATAGATATAGCCCTGACCAGAGGTGTTGCAAGGCCTGCCTTATTTCAGGGAAGGGGAAAAGGATCAGAACGTTTGAAGAGAATGTTGCCACTTTGTGATTTGTATCACAACTCGTGATGGGTCAATGTGCTGATTCCTGTTGAAAGTGTTCGGTGTTTTTTGTTTGTTTTAATTCTGTACTAGGTAACTACAGTCCAGAAAAATACTTTTCTTGGTTTAAAATATCATCTTGGTATCATTTAACAAACTTATCTTGTAAGTAATGGAATATTTAAGGAGGCTTTCATGTTATCATCAGTCTCTAAAATTATTCTGTAATAGATTGTTTTTCAAAAATAGTAGAGCTTGTCAGGTTCCACATGGCACCAGCGAACTAGATTTTTCAGGGAATGAAGATTTTCTCCACCTTCCAATATCCATTCAATGTGTTCTTAGATGGATCTAAGAGCACTGTAGCTAAACATCCAAATACTAATAGGGTTAAAATATTCCCCAATATCTACTGAATCTGCTACACCAGCAATCACAACAGAACGGCAAAGAGATTCTAGATCACCTCTGCTTGCTCCAGAACATTTAGACTGAACTTCAAGTATCTGAAAGAAACACACCATCCATCAGATGACAAGAAATCACCGCCGGATCATGAGAAATGTGGGAAAAAGAGAAAATACCTCTCCTCCTAGGGAAAAGAGTAACTCTTCTTCATCCACAAGCAGTTCGGTGAAAATCATGGAAATGTCTGATAAGGAATTCAGATCATTCATAATGTCGAAGCTAACAGAGATGGAAGAGAAGAGAGATAATGAACTGCTAAAGAGAAAGGAGAAAGAAGTTGACGAGTTCCAGGAGATGAGGAAATTCTTGCTAGATCTAAAAGAGGAATTACACACTTTACAAAAGACTAAAACGGAACTGTTAGAGATGAAGTCTATAATACAGGAAGTCAAAATCTCCCTTGAAAGTATTAAAAGCAGACTAGATCATACAGAAAATAGAATCTCAGATGTAGAAGAGAAAATGGCTGGCCTAGGAAAATCCACCACGAAGACTGAGAAAATGGCCCCAAAATTTGAGAATAATATGCAAGAAGTACTGGATACCATCAAAC